CACCTTAACCACCTGGCCATGCCGGGCCCAAAGGGGAAGAACAAGTTCTGTTGGGTTCATAGAAATATGCTTCGTAGACGTAACTTAGCCTTTTACTATGAAGTTTTAGTGTACTCAAGTCATTAGCTTTAGAAACTCTTCACAAGCGTCAACAGAATTGTGTAATTCATTTTGACGTTTTGTATTTCTTTCTTACCGTATCTCTTTCACAAATAACTTTTAATGTCTGTATATCCTTGAAGTGAATCAGAGGTATACAAAAACTGCCCCTTAGATATTAAGTAAACGTTACTATCAGGGTTGTTTTTCTGTGGGTAGGAAACTGTTTGTTCATGAGACAGACATTAAGTACATGTTATTATCTGCACTGTTTTCTTTTTGTGTGGGACAACTTTTTGATTGCTCATGAGACACAAATTAATTAAATGTTACTATCTGTTTTTGTTGTTGTTGTTTTTTGTGAGGAGGCAACTGTTTGTTTGTTAATGAGACAAACTTTAAGTAAGCGTTACTATCTGGATTGTTTTTTGTGGGAAACTTTCTGATTGCTCATGAGACACACATTAATTAAATATTACTGTCTATTTTTTGTGGGACAACTTTTTGATTGCTCATGAGATACACATTAATTAAATGTTACTATCTGTTTTTGTTGTTGTTGTTTTTTGTGAGGAGGCAACTGTTTGTTTGTCCATGAGACAAACATTAAGTAAACGTTACTATCTGGATTATTTTTTGTGGGCAATTTTTTATTGCTCACGAGACACACATTACTATCTAGGTTGTTTTTTTGTGAGTAGACAGCTGTTTGTTTACTCATGAGAGTTTTGTTCGAGACATGTAACAGTTTCGTATTTTAATCAGTAAACATTTTTTTTGTAACATTACTATAAATATATACATGTAGAACACTATCACACTTTTAGAATTATGTAGAAACACTATAAAGTGTAATTCAAAGATAGTATATTTCTTATCTTATTACATTAGTACGAACCTCACTAGGTTATAGTCTAGGTTACAAGTAAGAAAAAAAACAAAGGGATAAAACACGTATTTTGGATATCCACCCCGAATCTTACCATCCTCTAGAGGTGGTAAGGCAGCGGCTTAAAATGTGATCAAACTTGAAAACTAATCTCAATCATTATCCCATAACTTTAACTTTTAATATTTCCTATTTTTATTTTTAAACTATACTTTTCATTACTGTTGTGTCTTCCATCTTTATATGATTTATGTCCTTACTCTTATTCAACCTCGTTGTTCCAGTATTGAGTATAAAAAATGCTATTCGCCACCCTACTAGCCAGTTTATCCCAATACTACAAGGTGTATTTCATGTGTAAACAAATCTATAAATTCGTGTACATACTTAGGCATTAATCCTCGACAGTTTTCTACCAAAATAAAAAAGCATGGCTAACTGACACTGAACATTACTGGCAAAAAATACGATCAGTTGAATATTACTATTCGTAGATTATCAGCTCTTAATTCCAGCTAAGCCAATATAGCAATGCTTGCGTTTAGGAGAATTATTTACAGACAAACCCGTCTATAACATCTATCTTACTTAATGAGAAGTTTGAGGTTTCTTACTTCGGTTACGAAAGAAGAATAGAATCTGGAAATTCGAACTACTAATAACTCCTGTGTTTTCACTGAGAAAGGATAGAACATTTTCAAATTTCATAAATATAATATTGTAGAGTGAAGTGGCGACTTAACGCTAGAAATTGCTAACACTACATTTTTTTTAAGTATAACACCTTTTAGCATTTTTCACACTTATCACAATTTCATATTATCACTGCCTAGAGCAGTGAAGTACAATGTTATTCTACTCTTTATGTTGGGATAAGAGAATCTTCTCGTTAACCGCCAGAGTCCTTGAGTTATCTGGTTGGAAGATAGAGTTTGCCACTTTGACTTCAGATACGGTCTGCTGTGTGATAGACTGATCACGTGCCTCACATTTTATTTCGTTGCAATCATCATAAACGTCAGGCGTCCAGTTGAGCCTGCGAGCTACCCGATGGAGTTCCCTCGGGGATGATAATTTCCATTCAGTGGAATAGCCAGGGGAATGTTGATGTATTATAATTTCACTGTTGGAACATGGTAAGTTACTGGTTGAACTTGGCCTCAACTGACAATGGCTTTTTGTGTTTAGTTTTTGGATTTTTCGAGTGTTTTGGCTGGACAGAGACCTCAGTAAAGCTGGAAGACTTTTCAATGATAGTTTTTTCAGGGAGTTATCAGATGCAACTTTCCGACTGGGAGACAAGTTATTGTTCAATCGAATACTAGTCATACTTTGAGATTTGTTGTTGTAAACGTTGTCTGTACTAACATTTAGGTGGAATGGATCATAGACGCTGTCAGTGCTTACATGAAGCTTTCCCTGCCTTTGTCGCAAGTTTTTGCTACAATTTTCTTGCAACCACTGATACACACCACCTCCTTCATTAGCCTGGTCTTTATCATTTGTTAAGTTCTGATTGATAGCAATTTGTGGTTGGACCGTGACGTTGTTGCTTTGCTCGTCATGAGTAGACGAATCAGGAACGGACGTATCATTGGTATTTGACGAGTCTACCTTTTGATCTCCTGTGGATTGATCACTAGACACAATGGCATGATCATCTTTATAAGTAGAAATTTCACTACTGTCTTCATGGCTAGTTTCTGCTAGTCTGTTATAAAAGCAATTAAACTTCTCCTCAAGTTCTTTACTTTTGAAGGTTAAAGGTGGACTTCTGTCTTTCCTAGAACAGCTGGGACACAGGACGTCTTGTCGTAATGTAGAAAATGGAGTAGATTTATGAATGCCTCTCAAGTCAAACCCTTTGGCTGTTTGCCGCTGATTACAGGTTTCATCTATAGCTATTTGGCGGCAAAGTCGAGGTTTCTCTCGAGAAATGTTAACCGTTCCCCGCATTAGACGAGTTGACGGCTCTCCATTGATGGGTGGTTTTTCTCGCACACTCACTAAGTATCGGCCTGGTTGACCCATCTCCGTGGGACTCGGACGTTCTCGTAAGGTGGAGAGCATTGGTCGAGGATTTGAGGAATCACTACTTACGCTAGAGCGAGACATGCGAAACGTGGAGGTAGAAGTGGAGTCCTGACGACTACAGGACATGTTAGAATCCTGGGAAAGTTTTCGAGTTATGTTTGGATGTCCTCCTCGTTCCAATAAACGTAATGGGATATTGCCTTGTCTCCAACTATCTGAACGGGAAGAAAAGTTTTCACTGGATATACTTGACGCTCGCTTTGTTCCATATTGTATTTTTTTCTGAATCTGTGCTATAGCGTAAGTGTAGTCGTTACTTTCTGACTCTTCAGCCTGATCGTGGCACATAAAATACCTTACAGCCAGTCTCTTCCACTGGTTTCTCCTCTCTAGCAATCTGGCTCCGTCAGTAACTTTATGTGCACCACAATAACAAGGTGGAAGATCACTTCCAGCACTTTTCCTCTCAACAGCAGAATTTGTGTTAGCTGGTGTGAGTCTATTAGAGAAATTGGAGCTGTGGCGACACCGACCAATCCCACGAGTTACTCGAGATTCTTCTATTCGTTTACAGATCAACACACAGTCTTTCTTAAACTGTTTAGTAAAGATAGCGTAAAGAAATGGATTGGCACAGCTGTTGAGAGGTAGAACAAATACAGTAAAAACTTTAGCTTCCTCTAGAGAAATGAGGTTCAGTCCAGAGACAGCTGTTAGAGAGAAGAATGCTATTGGAGACCAACAGATAAAATCGGTGAAGACGAGAAGAGCCATTCGTTTGGCAATCCGTGAATCATTAGAATTCCAAGCTTGGGATCCTCTGATAGCGCAGTACATCTTCAAGTAGCAGCCCATCAAGATAAGAAAAGCCACACCGTTGATAAGGATTAGAAATACAACGTAACCCAAGGATACCATTGGTTCAGTGTCAAAAGGAAGACAGACGGCAAATTTTCTGTAATCACTCACTCCAAATAAAGGCAACAAAGCCATGATCAGAGCAAATATCCATCCGCAGATCATGATGTAGCCAGCATGTTTGAGGGAAAGTCGTTTGTTCAAGTGCATGGTATGTGTGATTGCGTAGTTCCGTTCCAGCGTGATCACTGACAAGGTGTATACTGATAGTTCAGTGCTCAACACTCCGAGAAAACCAGCTATTTGGCAGCCTAGTGATGTCTGCCAGGCTATAGCATACACCTGCATAGCAAAAAAAAAAGAACATTTTATTTCCTGTTGTAATACGTTACTACTTTCTGAGGTTAGTTTTAATAACAAAGATGTTTGTTGTACTTCTGACCTATAATTTTTAATTCCATTTATCATATTAAATTTAGATACTAAATTTATAAATGATTGTTTGAATGACTAGGCTTAAAATCAAAACTTGTAAACCAATTGACAACATTTTATAAGCTCCTTAAATTATTTTCCATAAAATGGTTTCCTTTAACTTAATAAAGGACAGTATGTGTGATAAAAAATGTACAAATTTTACAAAGTGTGTATTTTAATATGATATATTTTCTAAGGAAATTAGAAAAATACCTTATCTTAAAAAAGGACGGAAATAAACTTGGGGAAATTATCGCTTATCTGAGGCACAATGGGAAATGTCTTTAGATACTCTATCTCTCTCTCGTGCCCCATTTTCAGGGCTACTGATCATTACATATTAAAGTTTCAGGTACTGGAGAATAAAAGAGGTAAAAATTTCTTAAGTTGTTCAGTCAATTCAATAGGCCTGCTCTTTATACTTTTCACTGAACGTGGACAGACGAGAAATTTTAAATATGAACAAATAACATAAAAAAAATATCTCGATACAATTACCTAGCCATACACATGTTTCTTTAAACTTCATACCACGTGACTATACACAATATTTCTTATATAAACACATTAGTTTTATTAGTATTGCTTGAAATGTTTGGCAATATATTTTGGCCTATTGTGTCATAGCTAGCCAAAATTTGTAGATACGCAAAATACAAAAAATCAAAGAGTACCAGTGTCAGTGTTAAAGTAACTTAAGGATCAGTACAAGAACAGTCAATTCGGTAGTACATTGAAAAGACTTAGTGTTATCGTTTACGATAAAACAAATGTATTAAAACATCAGTAAAAATACTTAAAGTACTTAATTTCAGTTTCATAAGAATGTATTATGATAGTTTGATGATTTTAGATGAAAATGTAAAATTTGATTCACTTAGAATGTTTAAGAAAACACTCCTCAGAATAAGAAGACATTATTTGTTTCAAAGGCTAATCGATATATGTTTTTAAGAGCCGTTTAAACACGTAAAAATAACCTTTCTAGAGCTTTGTAAAGAATTGTTCGTTTGTTGAATTTTGCGCAAAAGTCGCTCGAGAACTATCTGTCCTAGACGTTCCTAATTTTGGAGTGATAGATGAGAGGTATCTAGTCAGCACCACCAACCGCCAACTATTGGGCTACTCTTTAGCGATGAATAGTGAAACTGACTGTCATATTATAACGCTGAAAGATAAGCATGGTCGACGACGGAATTCGAACTCGCGACCTTCAAATTGTGATTCGAGTGCCCTAACCAGGAGGCCACGCTAGAACATTTTTTTTTCTAGAGAAAAAATTCTGTCGTCAAACTAAAAAATAATTACTATACAACTTTTCTTAAATTAATAAAGTCTGCAACTGAAAATTAAAATTTACTGATCGTAATCTGAAAACAAAAGAGGGAGATATTTAAGAGTAGATATACAAGAAAAGCGTTGTTCATAGTATTCTAACAATATTTTTGTGATAGGATATTGATAGTTTGTATATTTTGATTTAATATATGACAAATAAGTATATTCGTCTACAGTTATAAAAATATATTTTGACCAATAAGCACATATTTCTCCTCTCTAGCAATCTAGCTCCGCCAATAACCTTATGAGCATCACATTAACAAGGTGGACGATCACGTCCAGCGCTGTTCCTCTCAACAGTAGAATTTGTATTAGCTGGTGTGAGTCCACAAGAGAAATTGACAAGTCAATTGTGTTGATGTCTTGCAAGACGCGAAAACTCTGCGATCAGAGTTTTCGCGTGTTATTCGTCTATCCAGAACTCTGTTTTATATCATATTTGTAAACTGTCTTTCAATTTCATGTGATGCTGTTTAATCCTAACCCGATATGTAAATGTCCACCAGTCAAAGAGGTCCTCACAAAGTATAAATGGATCTGTAAAAAACATCCATGCAGTAAGGTAACTGTTATATTAGTTATTATTAAGTGCATACACGATTTATTGTTTGATGTTTTGTTTTGTGTGTGAGAGATTTACTGTTTTCTGTTACATATATTTTTTTAGGTAAAACAGAATCTTCAACAATATTGGCTACTTATATGTCAGAAAAAAAACGTCATTAGTTTCTGATTGCTCTAACTGGAAAAAACTACTCACCCGGAATTCACCAAGAGTAGAAGCATCTACAACAGCTAGAACTCCAAGATAAACACCCATGAAAAAGTCAGCTATTGCCAGGTTGCAAACCAGGAACCTAGGAACATCCATTTTGCTACGGCCAAAGAGAAGAACAATAACAACGACACCATTTCCGAGCATAGCTAGTAGAAATACAATCCAGACACCGCAACGTAATGTCCACCAGTCAAATAGGTCTTCACACGGCATAAACGGATCTGTAAAAAACACCAGTGCATATCAATTACATTAGTTATTACTATTTTGCTATTAAGTTGATACACGATTTGCATAAATATTGGTTAATTGTTTCATTTTTTGTGAGAGAATCTATTGTTTTAATACCTTTTCGGTAAAACAGAATTTTCAACAATATTGCCAACTTATTTGGGTATTAAGTAGGGAATGAAATTACAGTGTTGGAAAATTTGATTCCATCACCCAATTTTTTTCACACTTTACTTCGGAATTATCGTCTGTTTTGAGGCCATAATGAATGTAGGTGCAATTGTATTTCATGGATGATGTAATGCTATCTAATTATTAGATCAACAGCTTTATAGACTGCCTGGGTGTTGCATCAGTTGCTTTTTTGGCTATAAATATCAGTTCTTATTAAGAGTCAGTTTAGCAGTCCATCTGCTGCAATGTGCGTGTGATGCCCTGAGGCCGTTGCGAGTTAACTCTACGAAAAAATGCAGCTATTGTTTCTTTGGGCAAAGAGGGATTTTTGGCACGGCAAATTGCTAGAATAATTAAATTTAACCAGTCTACTGTGAATCACTGGGTGCGGAGATATAGAGAGACTTATTGTGTTGAGCGGCAGAAGGGATAGGAAGAAAGCTTCCACAGCAGCTGACTATCGCATTCTGAAATGTATGAGCATGCGGAATCGTCGGCTGTCGTCTACAGATCTCACTGAAGAATGACAGGAAACTTCAGACGTCACTGGCACCGTTCAGCATCATGTTCAGCTGGTCTCCTAGCAAGACAACCAAGAAAGAAACCACTTCTCACCAACAAGATGAAAAAGATGATGCTCAACTGGGACAATAAACATGCTGAGTGGACTGAAGCAATGTGGAGCAAAATGATCTTCTCGGACGAATCAAAGTTCAACCTGCACAGGTCTGGTGGGAAGCACTTTGTACAATGTTGATGTGGAAAAGAGTTTCACCCGGCGTGTTTGAATGCAACTATGAAACATCCGTAGGGTCAGCTGATATGGGGTCTCTAGCTAGGGTGTGGGACCCCGCATTCTATGAAAGGAACTGTCAATGCCGACAAGTACATCGAATCCTGGTTAAATCCAACAATTCAGGATCGCTTCGGTGGAGCTGACCAGTACACATTCCAGGATGTCTCTGCTTCATGATATAGAGCTAAAAAGATTGGTAATATTCGTGTACTCTATGCAGTATACGTGAAACAAAGAAGACATTTCACTCCACGTGCATTAAAAAGACATATTAGGTTTTATTTACTTGCTTGAGGTAAAGGATTATCTTCAAAGGGAGAGGATCAAGACACTACGCTTGTCAGCTAACAGCCCGGATCTCAACTTTATGAAAAACTGCTGGAAAGTAATGGGTAACAAAGTGTAATAAAGGAAACTGAAAAGCACCTTGAGACTGCAGGAAGCCCGTGTGTCATTATGTACTCACTCCTGCTTACATTCAGTCCCTCGTGCACTCTATGCCAGGGTGATCACAAGCTGTTATCAAGGCCAGAGGGAAACAACCAAATATTAAAACAAGAAACAGCCTCTGTGACTACTTTATGTCAATTACATTAATGAAATTATATCTATATCTAGATTTTCTTACTCAGAGAACATTTTATTATTTGCCAAGTATTTGTCTATCGTCTATTGTAATACGTTTGTTACGGTTTGTTTGTTAATAAAGACGCATATATATGTTTGGATGACTGAAATATGAGTCAGCTTACACCACACAATGTCCATAACTGTTTTACACTAGTCCTGACATTTCCACAACACACAGTTGTGTAAAAATTTCAGGAAGCAAGAAAAGTGTTAAAACAAGTGGGTGATGTAATAATTTTTCTACCACTGTAATCTAACAGTTACTGTAATTGATTATAAACAGAAGTGTTCAAAAATCTTTAATTTTTCTTAATTAATGGTGATTCTGTTTGGTTCACTTTTAACACAAAATATGTATTTTTTGTGGTTTTAATATTATGGCCCTATGATGGTGAAATATTGAGGATTCAGACCTTTAAAGTTTGAGACAACAAACAATACCCAATAAATCCATATAAAGGATTTGAAAATTCTCCTTTTCGGCGTATCTACTGTATAAATACTTCAAAACCAAAAATAGTTTTTGTTTTGGAGTGTAAAAAGAAACAATAGAGTCAAACTTGATAACGAGAAAACTACGTTTTAGAATATAAAAGTTTTGAGACGGCTTGACTGGGTAATATACCTAAGGATGACAACATCTTGTCGAAACGTCGTACATTTATAATAAAAAAAATTCATTACCCAGTCAAACCATCTCAGTCATCAGAGAATGTCACGCTTTTGTTATTCGTTTTTTTCAGAACCCTGTTGTACATCGTCTCTAAAAACTGGCTTTCAATCTTATGTCCTCTCTAATGCACTGCTATTTAATTCTCACCCGTTTTAAGTTAAACTCATACGTAGCGTAAAATTTGTAGGAAATAATTTTAAAGTTGTAGTGAAAACTTCAGAAAAAAAATACAGATTTTTCGTAATCGATAACAAGCAGACATTAAGCCTAAGAGAACCGTAATCACACAAATGACATAAGATTATAATACACGCTTACATTTACTTTAAAATGAAGTTAAAACCATAGGTTTTTATCAATAATGCACGACAGAAATAATTTAACTATCTCAATACGATCTCGTGACTTCCATACATAACATTGTTTATATTTTTACAGCATTGCGTCTATAATCAAAATTTTGCTACAAGAATCTCTAAGGAGTCTAGGAAAATGAAATTAAAGTGATTGTAGAAGTACTAAGTTCAGTGCTGAAGTTATTTTCTGACATCTAACATTAATATTACTAATCATAGCACTTCTACTAAACGGCAATGACGATGATGGTGAGAGAAACTACAAAAAAGTTTTAGTGGAAAGAATAAAAGTTACTGGTAGTATAAGTTTTAGAGTATCAAAGTCGTAGATCAGGAATGTATTAGTGATATAGTTGTAGTAAAAGTGGTTATTGTGTAGTAATTGTAATAGTATCGGTAATGCATTTATTTATTTTATTTTATCACGCACCTGGTTTAGGTATACACTGGATTGGATAATTAGATAGTACAGACTCTTCACTGTTATACACAGATTTGTAATCTTCAAAGTATTCTTCTGCGTACTGAGCTATGTTGTTAGGGACACTGTAATCTCGACCCCCGGTCTTCCACAGTTCATCAGCAAACTCTTCAAACTTTGACGATAAATTGTCTGCAAGAAAAAATTCAATATTCTTCATTATATAGAAGCCACCCTAAGTTAATTTTAGTTTATTAAAATTAAAATAACACTGGAATGTTGCGAACCTTTACACAACTGAGTAGATCGTCCCCCTACCTAACCCTATAGCTAAACGACACAGTATGTCTCAGCCACTTTGATCCAAGACGTTGTTGGAGAGAGTTATAGAAAGTTTTGTGTACACTGGTGCCACGCTTATTGGCTCGGCATCGCCAGGTGGTTAGGAAGCTCGACTCGCAATCTGCGGGTTCGAATCTCCGTCCCACCAAACATGCTCGCCCTTTCAGCCGTGGGGGCTTTATAATGTGACAGTCAATCCCACTATTCGTTGATAAAAGAGTAGCCCAAGAGTTGGCGGCGGGTGGTGATGACTAGCTGCCTTCCATCTAGTCTTACACTGCTAAATTATGGACGGCTAGCGCACACAGCCCTCGTGTAGATTTTTGCGAAATTCGAAACAAATGTTCACTATGTTTTACTTTTTCTGTTACATCAAACACGAGATGCATCATATTCCATATGTAAATCTAAGGGGTCCTGGAACTTAAATATGCTGATTAGAGTAATTCCTTCTTCTTCGCTTGTTTGTGAATCGCATAAGAAAATTCCGTAGTATCGCATCAATCATTCTTTTCTACAGGCCTTTAGCTCTTAGTGGTCAACATAATTGAAAGTTAATTGAACGGATTCCTTTGTCAGACATCTTGTCTCATTGCATGTGATGCCTAAAGCAAGATCGATTTACCGTAAAATGGATTATTGTAAAATCATTGATGTTTTTATGTCTGTGTTTATTTGTATATATATTAAAAGTTGTATATTTTGGAATTAAAGTGACATAAATAACGTTTGTTTGGCGTTTTAATGTTCAAATATAGAATGTATATTTTGCGCCTATGTGCTAACATCAAATATTTATATTGCAATTGCAAATGGATATAATTTGTTGAGCACATATCAACACAGAATAAGCTACTTTTAGGAGAATGTAAATATAAATACACAAAATTAGCATTATTTTATGCATCTGGTGTGTATTTTCAATTGCAATATATATATATATTTGATGTTAGTATAGGCGCAAAATATACATTGTTTATTTGAACACAAAAACGCCAAACAAGAACATATTAAAAGTTTATCAAGATTTTTAAAAAGTTCTAACGTTAGGTCGTAGAATAACATTATATGTTTATTTATCGATAGTATTAAGTAGCTAAAGTTTAGCCCTAATTAAAATAAAGCAAAAAACGTACAGAAGTTACAGTGTTAATTTATCTCTTTATCAAATATGGATCGTTCTTATTAGAGGCTTAACTAATGTTAGGCCTAAGACAAATTAACTTATAGATATTGGTATCTTCCATTAGAATTATTTTATATCATTCTAGAAATCCTGTATTTAAAGAAGTACTGTTGAATAAATATACTAATTTGACCACAAATGTTTTGTTGGTCTCTGTTAAATATAAAAAGTTGTCTTTCATTTTACAGTTATCATATTTCACTAAAAACATAATAATATAGACAGCTGTTGAGTACCTTATATTAAAATGAATTTGAAGCATCATAACGCCGTTACTATCTATGTCGTCACATTCGTTCACACTCTATCTGACGACTGTGCATCTTGACAATAGACCTGCAGCACATCACCCCTCTCTATTGCTTTCATAATATATTCAGTGTACAATAATTTTGGTTTACCAGTGCCCGTTTGAACGTCTGATCACACGCATATTCACAGGCGACAACTTGTCCGATATGTCTACATATGGAATAACATGAATACCCGTTACTTGAGGTATGCGACGGTTGAATGAATATGTCACATAAGCAGCTTCTGTACAAGTGAATTCTGTCAATATTCCCTATGAATATCCTTTTTTATTATGTCCTGGGATACGTGGACGGCTTTTGTAACTAACCTTTGTGTTCATGGATTCCCATTTGTTACAAGATGGCGCATTTTGCTTATCACAGATGGAGTATAATTTGTTGCAGGTCTCTTTCTGGATGTTTCTGGTCTCCCAAGTTGATCCACGTATCTTTGTTTTCCAATCTGGTTAAGTACAATGGATATTCTTCTCCTGGAAAATTTAAATCCTTGATATGAAACGGTTTTTGATGACGTGAGTGTTTGAATATTTTGCGTCGGGAAGGGCTGTTACATATCCTTCCCAAAAGCGATCAATTTTAGATGGCACCACACTACATATGGTACGCCAAGCAGTGTTAACATTTAGTTGTGACATATATATCGTTCCACTCTAACTTAATATCGCCTGTGACTTATTGATTTGCATATTCAAAATCTTTTTCATATAACGTACTCAACCCTTTATATGTATAAACATTTCTACATTCATTTCAGATGCCACATGGATTAAGCTGTTAAAAATAACAAAGGTGAACAAATTTGTTTGTTTTTAAGCACAAAGCTACACAAAAGGCTATCTGTGCTGTGTGCACCATGGTTTTTAGCATTTTAAGCATTCAGACTTACCGCTGAGTCACTGGGAAGCAGATAACAGATATCGATTAGATTATTGTTTTTTTAAATTCTAATGAAAATCTACATAATTAAAAAAACATAACATCTTACTGTAGTCTGGCCAAACATCAGTAATATTAATATTCCAGATACTCATGTCTACTTCGTCCTTGGATAGCCACACAATAGTCTCTTGTAGAGAAGCGGGACTTGGAGTGGTCTTGTGAACTTTAGCCAAAAAAACACAGCAATGGTAAGAATACGATAGAGCAAGAGTGTGGATCCAAGGAAAGGAATCTGGAGAAGGAAAGTCCTTGAGGTTCGGATTGTTGAAAGTTTTCAGTTGACGCAAATTGTGTAAGCCTTTGGTTGGAAGTGTGGAAAAGTGGTTATTTCCTAGATTTCTGTAAAGAGCACAATAAATTTATTCATATTCTCTTCTCCATAACTTAGAAACTGTGAAACCCATCTTCAATTTTTCTAGTACTTAATGTTGTTTGAAAACCTATAAAAATGTTCATGCATACAGTATAAAAATATCGAGCATATTAACTATAACCATTAATTAAAAAGGTGTAATAAAAATAGCAAAACTGACTCAAAATATAAAATTGAGGTATGCATTTAAGTTTTCTGCGTAGAATATCTTAAACTTAAAATCTTTCAATCTATACTGGTTTAATTTACATTGATTGGTCACTTTATTAGAAACCTTACCCAATATTAGTCTAGGACACCTTTCATCACGATATTATAATTGATAAGATATGGCATAGAATATATAAGATGACAAAATATGTCTTGTTCAATTGAACTATATAGCCAAAGCATATGATCTGGAACTGGTTCAGAGGTATCGCTTGAAGAGTACAGTGGTGATATCCGATAAGAGTAAAATCCTGTGATCGTGCTAGTCTAAAAAAACGCCGAAGTCACTGTTCTGCTTATGGACCATTTTTGGACAATATGGACATAGTGTAGTTTATATTATCGCCTTTGAATAAGTTTTGTAGAGCGTGTTGGAAACGCATCTTTCGCATACACTCTGAATACTATTAACCTTTCTCAGAGAATCAGAGAACATAATTCTTGTCACGGGAAGTTCTCTACATCATTACACTGCCTTTATCAGAAAATCCTATGCAACATATAGTCCTCATATGCTGTTGTTTTTCAAATTTTATTCCACCAATCATCCAATGTCTACAAATAGCGTCCTAATCACCGCTGAAACCATACTTTCTTGTTTGCTTCTTAGCAAAACGATCTTCGGACTAGCTATTAGTTTTCATTCGATGGCTTTTGCAAAATCTTTAGCATTGCACGGTTGAAGATAGTCGAATCCTGACCACTGTTAAAGGAATCGATTAAGCTGATACAGCATGACGTCTATTGCACTTTATAAGCTTTTTCTATCGTATCTTCCTTGGCCTTTCACCAGCAGTTGGCGGTTTTTCGATTGTCATTGATGATAGGCTGATGGCAGTCGACTTTGAAGAGAAAAGTCAAGGAAATGGCATTCGATGGTAATGTTTCTACAAGATGGACATTCGCTCTTAAACCACTTTAAGCCTTGATTTTACTCATTTTCTTACAGACCAACGACGCTATGACAATTTATTAGGTTTATAGGATTCAGGCAATCATCTGTTGCCTCAGGTGATCGGTATTTTATCTATGCAAATAATTGGAATCTTCTACAAATAAGAGGTGTTTTCCATCAAGAATTGTTTAGTTTACGATAAAAATATAGTTTTATATCTTAAAATCTAAACTATATTTTTCTGTAAAAGTTTCAAATATTTTAATATTGTTTTATTATCTACAGTTTCATCTTACTTGGCAGGTGATTAGGGCGCTTCACTCGCAATCTGAGGGTCGCGGGTTCGAATCCCCGTCACACCAAATAGGCTCACCCTTTCAGCTGGGGGTGTTATAATGTGACGGTCAATCCCACTATTCGTTGGAAAATGAGTAGCTCAAGAGTGGGTGGTGATGACTAGCTGCCTTCCCTCTAGTCTTACACTGCTAAATTAGGGACGGCTAGCGCAGATAACCCTCGTGTAGCTTTTTGCGAAGTTCATAACAAACAAAACCAGACCAGTCTTAGTTGGAGTCAACTGCCCTATCCCGTAATTTTGGTACTAAGATATTATAGTCAAACAGCAATTTAGTCAAGGAGAAGAAAGTATTTACAACCCATTTAAAAACTGTAAAAATCGAGATACATAAAAACGAGTAAGTAGACGCAATAAATAAAGTAGATATTAGTTAGAGCTTCTGCCAACAAAGAACATCAAGACAGAGGAACGAAGAGAGAAAAGAAAATACATGTGCACGAAGAACAAAGGAGAGTAGATGAAAATGATGTAAAATATGTATTAACAGTAATAAAATTAAATACATAGTTACATTTTATTAAAAATATATACTTTTCTTCTGAAAAAATTAGAAACTTCGGAACTAACTTGTAAATCTTGAACAGATAATTATATTTATATGGAACATTTTATATAGTAATGTTTTCGTATTTTCTAGCTTTCGTTGAATCCACATTGTTATTGAAGTAAATACGTTACTGAAACAAACACAAACATATAGAATACTACGTAAAATTAGTGTAATACGTAAGTCTCTAATACCTTGTATCGTTGTCATGTTTTAAATATGTTTGTTTTATAACCCTGGCGCATAGCCACAAAATGTCCGTCTCTAATTTTCAGCTGATATACTTGAGGGAAGGCTGATGGTCAGCAGCACCAACCAGGAATTCTTAGGCTACTCTTGTCTGACATAAGGCAATGTGACTGTCACTCTTGTGGTGCATCCATAGTATAAAAGTGCAGAAAATGTTCTACTGCAATAGACCAGCTAACCATGAACACCTTGGATTTACTATCTGGGCACATTAACCACCATTTTAAATGTGATCATATTTGTTTCAAACTTACATCAGCTGTTTGGCTACACGTTGATGAAATAGTTGTAAACCAGTCTAAGAAAGAAATGTCGCACTGAATGTCTTTGTAAAAGTATAGGTGAGTCGGATATAAATTCATAGAAAATCAGACCTTCATAAACGTGACAGTGTAGTGTCAACTAGCATATAGTTCTATCCTAAATGTAGAATTTAATAACTTCTGCTCTTTTGAAGACCTTAAGACCTCTCAGCTATATCCACACAATTCATCAGTTATTCTAAAAATGCAAACTTCTGGTTGGCAAAAATGGTATTATCAAATAAAGTCATTTAACACCAATCCACTTGCTCTAAATGGTTAACTAGGAAGCAGGTTTGACTTATGAAGCAAAAAAAAGTCTTATAACTTACAGATCTCGCAGCTTTGACACCGGCAAAAAAGCATCACGATCAATGTGTGTGATTCGATTGTTCTTCAAGTCCCTGAAACCAACAGTAATCGCAAAATTAAATTTTGTTTAAAATACATTCACAATTTCAAACTGTCATGTGGATTTTATTTTCCCCTTCTCTGTATATATATATATATATATATATATATATATACACATAATTATATACAAGAAATGAATTGAAACAGTGTTAATACATTCTTTTAAGTTTTATTTTTAACAAATTATATTTTTATACCTTCATGCAGTTCAGAAATTAAGAGATGACATCGTAAGGTATAATCTTGAACTTTTTCTTGTTTGTAAGTGTTTCATAAATTTAGAGAACAAATAATTATTTAAAGAAATCTGACTGAAAAAATAATCCTGTATAATATAGATAGTTAATTAACGTTACCTTATAAAGCTTATAAAGTATGTTTTAAAAATTATTATTATTTAAAAAAATCTATCGAGTCTTTTCTCGGAGCGCAGATTTTTCTTTGGATTCGTTTCTTAGTTTCTGTTGAAAATTAACCTTAAGAAGATAAGACAATATTTGTATGTCTAATATGACTATATAAATAGCTTAGTAAACATTATTGCATCAAATATTGCAGAAATGACATTATATAATTATATTGAACTATAATAACGATTTATTAGATGTATTGTAATATATTCACATATCAAATTTGTATCAGAAACTCATTGCATTCAAAATATATAAACAATTAGAGGCTCGAGCCTGGAATCTAACTACAAACACTATATAATCGTATACTTACAATACATGAAGATTGTCCAACCCAACAAATGCATTCTTAGTGATGCGCTCAATAAGATTATCACCAAGGAAGAGATCGATTAATTTCTTCTGGCCTCTGAATGCAGATTCCCTCAGGTTCACAATATTATTGTAGCTAAGATCACTAAAGACAGAAATATAAATATATATGTATACAATCAAAAGAATTATGAAAGATTTTGAAAACGAACCTACAATTGTTATGGTTAAGTTTATTGGTTTGTCTTTAATTCAGCACAGAGCTACACAATGGGCTATCTGTGCTGTGCCCAGCACGAGTATCGAAACCCGGTTTCTGGCCTTGCAAGTCCGCAGACATACCGCTATGCCATTGGAAGCGTTATTACTAACGCCTTTTTAATAGCTCAATAAAATGTAGTAGTAAATTTATTGTCATTCTTATTTTCTATTGTTTAGGAAACACGTATAGATAACTACAGGGAGGGGATAAATAGATATAGGGTTAGAAAAGTAAATAAATAGCGAAACAGGCCTATTAAAATCGATTTGCATAATCAAACTTTTGACGTTCAGTTAAAGCGTGTATTTTTAAAATTACGTTTAACTCAGTCGTTTGTTTACTTAGGTATAGCCCCCACCCCACCCACCCCCCGTGGCACAGCGGTATGTCTGCGGACTTACAATGCCAGAAACCGGGTTTCGATACCCACAGTGGGCAGAGCACAGATAGTCCTTTGTGCTTAATAACGACAACTAACAACATATATTAGGTATAATATGAAATGTCTTTTCGAAGCTTTATAATAAGCTAACTTTTAGCTCAAGATGTTTGTGGACAAACATTTAAATGGGATAAGTGAGATGGGCATGAATCAGAAATATATTTTTGGATTTCCATTGAAAGCTAACTAGATAATAATAATAACCATGTATAACAAGATCTAAACACAGATGACATTACATCGTGATCAGTGTTGATCACTTACACAAAAATTAAAATTTTACTTACATAAGTCGAAGTTCAGTACAGTTTAGAAGCACTGGAAGTTTAGAGAGTCGATTGGATTTCAGAATCCTGTAAAAACGGAGTAATTAGTTTTTGAATGTCTGTATTTTTACAGCAACAACTTGATGGCTGTGTATCTGGGATATATGGAGAAAATTCTTAATAGACAACAAACAACAGAATGAGGTAGCGTAACGTTTGGGAGAACTTCCGTTTCCAGTATTCGGTTACCCGAAACGTCGAGATGAATCAACAATCGTTACCACAGGCTGTTGCTGTTCATGAAGAAACTTCCTCATGTGTAGAAACAAAAAAAAAACTTTAGCTTACAACACAAATGGCGAGTGCAAGATAAACGAAGCAAAGAAAAATGTAGTTAATCATCGCACATTTCGACATCAGGGTTAATATTTTAAACAAATGAGCTTGTTATTATTAAAGCTTTTGAACGCACGTAAGATATTTGTTTACAATCAAAATGTGCATAAATTTCAACTTTTAATACATTATAAACAAATTTATAGCCACACGATCTTTTATAAAACTTCCACTTACGTTCCTTTTGTAGCTTTTAGTTGACTTTACTGAATTTTGGAAAGCCATTAAGTTCTGGTTGTTTCTATAAATTAAATTCGTAGTTTTTCTTCCATAATTTACTTAAACTTTACGTTATCTTTAAACATCAATCTTTACACGTGGTCAATAAAATTTTACGAGGTAGTTCCAGTGTAATTATGAGTGATTAATCATTATTTCCGTAGACTAGTGCTATGTAAAAAATGATATTAAATATCCGTCACCATTGCATCCGCGGCTTCGAAAAATCTTTAAAGTCGCAGTAATGTAAGAAAGATAGACAACATATAAGAACAGCAAAACTAAGAAAATCGTTAGCGCTTAGAATCTATGCATACATATTAAATGAGAAGATGTAATCGCTTTGATAACTTTAAATGGGATGAAGGATATAACTTTTTTCCATTCTCTTTTGAAACTGTCCAGAGCACCACAAAAATGCAAACCCAATTTCTTTAACTATAAAATGGGCGAATATTAACGATAAAGGCACATTCTTCTGTTTCAAATTCCTACTTATTTTTTAATCAAATTGGAACTTTTAACAAGAAACAAAAACAATACTTAAAACATTATGTATTATGACGAATAAAACTGAAAAAAAACGAACTGTTTTTTCTCAATAAGATATCTTTAATTATTATATATATATTGACTGGCCAACCTCAATTCTGGTGAACATGGCTGCTTGTGAGGAAAAGGTGGAAAAAGCTTAAGCAAAAAAGTCGATTAATCAGTGGACAAATCTGTTTGTTTATACTATAGGTCTAGTCACCTTGGCTATCAGCCAAAAAAAAAATCTTCTGTAATCCGATCAATCAGGCCTTGTAATGAACCCATATATACTTGAATTGCAAAAATTTATGAGAGTGTTATTGACCACGTTATCAGACTATGTATCATCCATATCACGGATGAGCATTTTCTACGAAATATCGTAAGTGGTACACCAAACAATCTTCAGATTTAAGGCTTCTGCTGTTGGTAGGCAAAATAGCATCTTTTGGTCATAATCTAAAGTTCTACCATACATTTTAAGTATACAAAGTAATTCTGCTTATTAATATTGTCTTTGACGAAAATCCACTATACACTTTGTCTAATTTTCTGTATATAGCCTTGGTTTGGTTTCAATTAAATGAAACAACTTGCAGAGTTCCGCGCAATTTGATAAGTATACATAATAGGAGTAGGCCCTAAAGGCAACGTAATTCGGTCTATTTTGTCTAAAGTGTTTGCTAGTCGTTGGATAAGTTGATGTGTATTTATCCAATCAATTGGTGTATGTGGATAAACCTACAGAACATCGTTTTCAAAGCTAAGAATTCTCGAGTGTTCTCCAGACATTTAAGCAAAAACCACTGAAATGATGAAACTATAATGCGCCATGGCTCATTTGGGAGTTTGTCCTAGGACCGTAACATTGTTCTGACTCTGCTAACAGAGGTGTTCCAGGTCCCCTTGGGCACCATAGTTTGCTGTAAATTGTTCTGATTAACCTAAGTTTGAGGAAGGCCAATCCAAAGCTAACCTACTCCCTCTCTCGAGTGTTATAATATCAGTGCACTTTCAATTGTATTTCCCTTTTTATGTAAAATAGGTTTAAGGCTATTGTCTCATGTACTCTCGTTACTTTGTTCAGAACTAGACTTTACATCTCAGTCTTTCGTTATGTTCCAGATGTACTGTTTCTACCAATGTTTAGAACTGTCTTCCACGAGGACTATCAGAGCGTGTAAATTCTTAATCCAATAACAACAATGTTAAGGCTAGGTCTTATATTGGATGCAACAGGTTGTTGTTTTCATATCTCAACAATGATGGATCATTTCAGTTGTTTAGCCAGAACTTAGCCTTATTCTGTGTGGGACTATTGACTTCAAATGATATAGTTGTTGGACCAGACTCAAAGAGAATTTAAAAATTGTTTTCTTCAACAGTAGAAACACAGCTTCCTTCAGGTTCTGAAGTAGTGTACTGTGTTAACCTTACATCAACCAAAGATCGAACCGTTGCAGCAGGCTCAAAAAGAAATAAAAAGAAAGAAATGGAATTTAAATAAATTCAGTCGTGCTTTGTGTTCGAGATAGGCTACTGTTTTCTAATATGTGTTTCGCTTTAATGTTCGTTTGACTGTTCACATATTGCTTTCCATATAAGTTTTTGTAATTTTACCTCACAAAAATGTAAATATAAACCAATTAGTAATGTTATGGTGTAAAAAAAAGATATATAAATGTTTTTCTCTTTTTAATAGAGTTGAGCTGACGTATACCTTAACTAAAACAGAATGATGGCCTCTAGGATACATTGTGTAATTTTTACAAAATGGGTAAAACTTATTAAAAGTCACGTGATTTTTGTATAATCCATTTGAAAGATTTTCTAAGCTAGTTTGCAATAATTTGATATTTGTACGTGAGATACTTTTTCACATATATTTTCTATGTTCAAAAATATTAAGAATTAATGTCTATAACAAAAACTTTACCTTCTTTGCACTTTACATATTTCATCTATAGTACTATGTCACATTTGTCACTATGTATAGGGTTTCGCCCTTGGTTTTATTCCTGGAAACCTTAGACTAGTAAAGATAGTCGTAACTTCTAAAAAAGTATTTTAATGTCTGTAAAAACCAAAAAAAAAAGTTTTACTTGGAATAGAACGAACCAGCGTCTCTTCTTTTCTGGAAGGTAAAATAATTTTTTATATAACCTTAGCGTGTCTTTCTTTCCTTTGTTTGCTTGCTGTAAAGTACAAAGCTACATAATGGGCTATTTGTGATCTGCCAATTGTGGGTATTGAAACTCGACTTTTTTTGTGTTATCAGCCCACTGAGTCACGGGGGGGCTTATTTCCTTTACCATGTGCGTCATCTTTTCATTTGATGATCAATAGAAAAAAATGACACCCGAGACGAACATGACTATACTTGTTTCTTTGTGGTCCTGCTATTGACTTGTCGACATATAGCATACAATCCAGACAATACGACGTCAGATCGCAGAACTGATTTTCTTTCTACTACCAGAATTTATTTCCTTGTATCATGATCTACAACAATTTTGGAATATTGGAAGGTTTCATGTACTATTACTGCCTCTTCCTCATTTTCTTATGTAATTAAGACTTCATGGTAACAACGTCGATGTCTAACCTCAGTTTCATGGGTTTCAGCTGAATGTCATCGTATTTACTGACTTATTTACCTTTTACGAGAGAAGATGACAAATTAAAAGTAAACAATTTAATAATCAAAGAAAATGATTTGTTAGTCTATCTGTGGTTGATATGAGGTTAGTCTAGAACCTTTACGGTTGAAGGAAACAGTTCTTTCAATAATTTTTATTACAATTTGAAAATTCTAAGCTTGTTCATAAGCTTTGATTAAGCGATTGATATTAGAAATAACATAACGAATAAAATTACTACCCCGAAAAATTGTGTAGTAATATTAAATCACACATGAGAATATACTGTTATCCTTTCATTGTTTTTCATTATAATTTAGTACTTTCTATTTAAATTACATATTTTAATTTATAAACGTTCATAGAAATACGTCTTTTTTAACAATTCATCAGTCTATTTACTAAACAAATAGAATGGAACTTGAGGCTACTTTATCGGAGATATCTAGAAACTTTTCGAAAATCAGCTTATAACAATCAGTTTATAATACGTCGATTTTACACAGAGACTCAATAATTAATTATATAAGTCTTGAAAACTACAAAGAAATGTTTGTCTTCAGTTTCATGATCTTACAGGCTTTTCAGGTGTGGTGTCTGAGCACAAAACTTGTGAGGTACGAAATCTAGTAAGCTCCTATCTAAACGAAGATGTTCCAGTGCAGTTGTACCAGCTAGGTCAGGAAATTCTTTGAGTTTTTGGGCTTCTCTGAGAATCCTGAAAAGTTAAAAGAAAACATAAGTCGAACAGTATTTCTATTTGATCTTTGTTGATCATTCTTAATTCATCTTTATAGGTTATTACTTACTTGACTTAGTCCAAAGACTGGTAAATTAGTACTGTTGTTTTCGGACAATATTGTCTTGTATGCCAATTTTCAATATACAATTATATAGAGTACTCGCATTATTTCAATCTGATACTTTTCCGGTTTCAAAGTTTTTCTGTTAGGATTATAAAAACCTTGAACAACTAGGTTGGGAGGATGAATTCTCAATAAATTGAGAAATCTACGAGAATTCGTACACTTTAAAGAATATAATAACTCTATGCCTTAGAAGTAATAGTATCAGGATTTACTAGGATCCTGATTGAGTCAGATCCATGAACGTTTTCCAAATAATAACAATTCTATAAAAGTTTTTGTTTACCAAAACAGTAGCTTTATAGCTAATATTCAGATCAATATTCAATCATATTGTTTCATAAAACAAATCGACGGTTCAGAGTTCATGCGATTTCACTTTTTATTTACAATGACATTACCTTTAATTCAATCATAAAAACATATTTATTTCATAAATTAGTCCGTTTAAAATAAAATATCATTCGCTAATGTTTAGCGCAAGAGTTTTAGATGTTTTTTAATATAGATGTTTCAGATTATTTACAACTAAGTTAAAAGTAATATATATATAAAGAAATAATATCAAATTGTTCTTAAGTACATTTAGGTGAAAAATTAAAACTATTTTGGTGTTTTTTCAGAACTTATAGTGCGTACTAAAAGACTTGAACATTTTGGTAATAACGTTAGAAAAAACGAATTTTACTCTCCAGTTAATAATAAAAGAACGTTATTTTAACTAATGTTTCAATATTGTGGTTTCCTCAGGGCTGTAGTACAAGAAACGTTGGCTGAAATTAAACAAATTATTATCTGTAGAGTAAAGGTCGTTTTCTTCTAACTTTATTGAAAAAATGATTAAAAATTTGAACTGGAATGCTATGCTATCGTGGATATATATTTAATGAATAAATAAACAGTAAACAGTAAAATAACTTAAGTAACTGGAATGATTATCTCAAGAAACAATAATCTATAAGTGAAGGAAAAGATACCTATTACTGAATATTCTCATTTACAAGTTCATTACAAACATTTAAAACCTGCGTCAAGGTAGATTGGAAGGACACGATGTTAATTTGACAATGGTGAACAGGAAATTCATGTGATCCATAGCAAAGAGACTTAGAAATCTTACAATTCTTTCAAGTCTGGTAGGTTGCTGAAAGCGCATCGTTCAACATCCACAATAGGGTTTTGGCCCATCTCCAGCAGTGTCAGCTGTGGATTGTGTTTAAAGGATTCTTCTGGAAGGTAGGATATCTTGTTGTCTGCAAACGTTCTTAAAAATAAAATATAACTTTTTCTTAAATTCTATTGATTTTAGATTAATGGATTTTGAAACATATAATACCATAATTTTAAAGATGTTACGAACACTCACTTGTTTCTTTTGATTGACATATTATGTAGTTTGTACACGCATTTAGTATTCATCTCATTCCTTTATATTCCATTTAAATGAGTTCTCTCTCTCTCTCTCTCTCTATATATATATATATATGTGTGTGTGTGTGTGTATATA